TAGACTTCGGTGAAGTCCCAAAACTCAGAGATAGGTCTCTGAAGCCCCTATCATGGTCTGATAGATGGTTTCCCATGCTAAGCAGACTCCACTGGGGTCAGCGTGGCAATGAGAGTCTTGAACAGTGCATACACTTGCTGTGCTCTTTACACTGAAGTCACACGCTGTGTCAAAGATGGCCCCCTAGGTGATTTCAGTTAAGCCCTTGGCAGGCCATTTTACTTAATCACATTGCTTCCAAATTACCATTGTTAGGAATCATGATTTATGTTTTCTCTTCATAGGGCAAATGTGAGAAACGAGTACAGGATGTAATTGAGCGGTTTTGGGATTTCATTGACCAACTGAGCATCAATACTTTTGGTAAGGGATTTCTCTGGATTGTTTACTTAGAACTGAGCCAGCTTTTACAATGACACTAGAAAACTAGCTTCAGAATTTGTGCTCTAATCCTTCAGGATAAAATAGAAACACTGGGCCAAACACAGTAGCGCATGCCTGTAATACTAGGTACTCTGGAGGCAGAGACAGAGGCATTGCAGTTAGAGGCTAACCATGGGAAAAGTTAATGAGACCGTATCTTAAAAACAACCTGCTAGCTGCTCAGGAGGCCGAGGTAGGATGACTGCAGTATGCCCAACCAGGAAGACATACCCTAAAAACTAAAAGCAAAAAGATGTGTATGTGGTTTCGGTGGTAAACTGCATGCCTAACAAGTACCCAGTACCTAAAAGAACACGAAAATGGAAATGGCCGCCATTGTGTTGTGCAACCACTTTGTTGCCCAGGACAGAAGACTCGGCACAGGCTCTGTCTGTGGAGCTTGAGTGTGTGAACGTGCCAAGGGCATATGTAGTGAAAATGGGCAGGCTTCAATCCTGCACACTGTAAATCTAATCTTATTTGCTCCAAGAATTACATACGTGCAAGCGGACCTCAGGCTCTGCGGAAGCCAGGGGGTGCGTGAATCACGTTCTCAGGAGGCCTGAACTTAGGTTTGTGTTACAAAAATATCCATATAACAAAACCATTGTCTTTTAAAAGTTTGATTTCTTATTAGTACTGGATATTAAATCAGGATCGTGTGTGTGTGTGTGTGTGCTAGGCAAGCTAACACTTGATCTGCAGCTCCCTTGTTTGCAGTTTATTTTTGAAATAGGGTCTCGTTAACTTTGCAGTTGAACTTGAGTTCCTCCTGCCTCTGTGATTACAAGCGTGAGCCACCATGCCCAGCTAAAGACAGTGAAGCTCTGTCCTCCGGGCCTGCTGGTGCAGAGGCTGTTTCTCCAGGGCTGTGGGGAGCTGAGCACCGCAGCCCCAGCTGGCTCAGGACGCTCACTGTCTGCATTTCTTCACAGGGAAGTTTCTAGCAGACAACATCGTTGGGTCTGTTCTGGTTTTCTCCTTGATATTTTGGATTCCTTTCAGCATTCTCGTCCACTGTGTGGTAAGTCACCGATACGTAAGTAATGTTTTATTGAAAATTTGAGCAACTTCAACCCAACCAGGTAGTGTTTGAATAAGATTGTGACATTTTTGGTGTCATCCTCAGAGCTTGCCTTCTAGAAAGCATAGTGAATGGTCTTCAAACAAACAAGATGAGTTACTTTTTTGTGGGGATGGCTTACTCTCAAGTAACTTACTAGTCTTCGCTTGCGTGACTGGACCTGTTGGGAGCCTGTGACGGGGAAAGTTTGAAACGAGCACTTGCAGCTTGGGAGAGTGCACGTCACGTGGGGGTGGTTCCCAGATGCAGGGGATGCAGGGGGTGCGTGACTCTGCCACAGGGCTCGGCCCTCCCCAGCGGGGCTGTGCGGGCGCCCTTCTGCTCGCGCCCAGCCTCCTGCTCGTGCTCGCGCTCCTGCTCGCACCGGCCTCCTGCTCGCGCTCCGCCGTCACAGCGCAAAGCTCGCCGTGCCTCGTCTGGGCTCCAGGCATGTTAGAGATCTTGAGCCTCTCAGACCTCCTTCCACATTGACCCCGAGCGTCTGTGAGCTGAGTCAGAAGGAGTTGCACGGGAGTCCAGATCTTTCTCTGATCCTTTCAGTGCCCTCCCCGCCCGCCCCTCCTGCTGGCAGAGCACTGAGCAGCGAGCAGTTCCTTGGGCTGGAGCTGACCTGGAGCTCAGACCCTAGCGCTGCCTGCGGGTTGGTTGCTGCTGACTTGAGCCTGTTTTGTTCACAGTGGGAGCTGGGTGGCCGCGTGCTGGCGGGCTGCTGGCCGGCTCGCGGCCAGTGCCCCGTGTGCCGCACAGGGGGTGCTCATGGCCTGGATTCTTGGCTCTGCCTTGCTCCCCTCAGCTGCTGCAGGCAGGCGGGAGGGTCCCACGACCGCCTCACAGGGTGGTCGCTCAGCCTCCTGCACCAAGAGCAGGAGGACAAGGTCTAGCTCCTTCAACCGAGCTCCGTGTCTGGAAATGGGCTGAGCAGTGCGAAGGCGCCTTGGCCCTCGTGGCCCGTGCCCATCACGTCACACACTCGCCGTCCTCGCCTCTGCCCTGCCCACATGGCCACCGAGCTCTGAAATCCCCCGCTTGCGGTGTGCGCCAAGAATAACCATAAAACCACAGTGAGCCTGCCAGCCTTCGTTAGCTCCGGCGGTGGCCCAAGGTGAGCACTGAGCAGCCGCCGAGCTTTTCCATGCAGTCATCTCCTCCTCTTCTTTTCTTTCTAGGATAAGAAACTGGATAAGCAGTATGAATCCTTGTCTCTCTTCCACCCCAGTGTAAGTTTACCACATGAACCACGTCTCCTGTTGGGTTTGGTCCTGTTAAGCAAAGGCCTTCATTGGGCCTCTTAGCAAGAGCTGTGGGCCTCCTGGCTAGTGGAGGCCGCGTGGATCCTGGGTGGAGGACGACCTTGGCAAGGCCATGGCAGCTCACCTGTGTCGATGGGAGGGGCAAGCTGCCCCCCCCCCCCCAAGCTAGGAACAGATTGGTTTTACTCATCTCTGGTCCCAGATCTTGCTAGATAGATCTGAGTTCCTCATGTCACGAAGGTGACTGCTGGGCTTGCGTGAGCCTCTCCGTGGCTCATGGCTTAGCCGGAGCGGTCCCAAGGCACAGGCTCTGAGTGGCAAGGCTGGGCACGGGTTCCTCTGACCTCTCTTCATCTCTCCATCCTCTCCAGAACGTGGAGATGCTCAGCAGCATGGACTCGGCATCTGTCCGCATTGTCAAGCCCTTCCCCGCGCCCCAGACTCCCGGTCGCCTGCAGCCAGCCATGCTACCGCCCGCACCTGCAGCTCCCCGGCTGGACCACCAGAGGATGGACACCATCCAGGAGGACCCCAGCACGGACTCGCACGTGGACGAGGACGGCTTTGAGAAGGACCCCTTCCCCAACAGCAGCACTGCCGCCAAGTCCTTCGAGGACCTCACCGGCCACCCAGTCACCCGGAGCGAGAAGGCTGCGTCCTTCAAGCTGCAGCGGCAGAGCCGCGTGGATAGCAAGGAGACGGAGTGCTAGTGGAGCCAGCCCGGCGCACGCATGGCGTGTTGGTGCAGGTTCCGGGGTCATGGCCTGCACTGGTGACCTGCGAGGAGCGAGGACGTGACCCAGCGGGTGGCCTGCGCTGGGCAGGTGCCTCCTCCCAGAGGCCAGTCTTCTTCTTGGAAGAGGTAAGGTGAAGCGGAGCATTTTGAGGCTTCCAGGTTTAGTATTTGATTTTTAACATATCCTTTGACCTCTGGTGCAAAAACAGAATATACAGCTGGATTAGGTTCTGAGTATTTCATGTAAACTGGCTTTTTAAAATTGATGAAGTACTGATTTGAGAGGTGATCAGTTTTGTTGTTTTTTTTAATACACTGTAACAATTCCCTGACTGACAAAAGCATTTGCCAATTATTGTGTGAGGACAACTGGAATACAGATTTACTTATTTATTTCTGTCAAGTAGAAGCAAGGGAGATAGTTATGTACTATCTAAATTGTTACCTTGTTGCTAGATATTACAAAGCTTTTTCTAAGAACTATAATTTTAAGCTAGAACTCAGACACTCTATTTGGAGGTCTTTAACAGCTGTAACAGCTAGTTACATTTACACTTGCTCTGTCAATTGTTCAGGTCCCCAATTTGCTGGGTGCGTTTTGTTGTTTTATAAAATTTATGTATTTCTAATAGTTTGCCATGCTCTTAAAAAGTACACTATCCACAAAAATCGAACATACTTCAGCCAAACCTGATCTGAAAGAACACAGCTGTCTGTCTGCGACCGTGAGTGGGGAAGAGTCGGTGGAGGGGATGGAGAGTATGGCTGTCTGTCTGTCTAGGCGGTATGTGTTCTCAGACGGTTGGACAGGCTGAAGTATGCTGTGTACCGGCCTGGAAGCACCCCGGAGCCCCTCCAGACTCAGTGTCATTCACTGACTTCTGCTCTATATTCTGGATGCTTTGTTTTCAAAGGGTAAAAACTCTCATGCTGATTTCTAGAAAAGTTTAGTTAAAAGCATTTCCCCTAAGAACTGAAATGTGCTCACCAGACAGCACATCTTAACCAAGGTGACTTTTACACTTTGAGGGAAGTTAACCAAACCTGTGCCTTTCTCCTCTAAGGATGTTTGTTACAGATCCTCGTTACACTAATACTTGAACTTGTACCTCATGGTATTTGCCATTCTTAAGTAGTTACAACCGTCTCATCTTCTAGTTATACTTGCAGAGTTTGATACAAGGTGAATGGGTGTGTGGTGCATGTATGAGTGAAGCATTTCTTACCCGAATGTAAGAAAACCCTTTTTTATAAAATTGTGACTTTTTAAAAAAGAAAATGGTCTTTACCTTTTTTGCCATGCACAAGATTACCCAGCTGCTCAGGGTATATATTCTGTAGCTGCGGGATTGCTGATACCTGCATCAATCAATAAATGAGTATCAAAACTTAATGGATCAAATAGTGCTTCTCTGAAATGAAAAACTCCTAAAGACTTTATTATTAGTGTTGGGAGCAAACGTTAGTGGCTTTGGTCCAGGGCGTAAGCGCAGGTTTGGAGGCTGTGGAACCTGGCCCATCAGTCCTGGCTCCCTGGGATTCACGCGTGGTCCCCGCCTCCCAACAGACTCAGTTCAGGCTCAGTTTCTGACACCTCCTTCCAATATGGCAGCAGCAAAGGCAGATGAGACACCCTCTTCTCTATCAGAGGCCACAGATGCAAAAACAGAAACTCGTTCCCCTTGGGTGACAGGTGTAGTCCATCGGACAAGTAGGCGGAGAAGTCCTGCCGGAGAGAGAGGTTGCTTGTGTTAGAGGTGCACAGCGCCCAGGGCAGGCTGCCGGCTGCAGCTCCTGGGATATTCAGTAGCATCCCTGTGCCTCTGGGCAGGAGCTTCAGGAAGCTGTGTACGCTGGGGCAGCAGGCTGGGTCATGTGACATGGCTACCAGCTACAGAGACTTGGCTGAAGACCCTCGTATGTCACTCACTGTCCAATGAAACTCAGCCAAGACTGTGAGTAAGGATGGCTGGACTCCCACCGCCCTCTTAATTCTATGTGTGTTTTCAGGCTTTCAAATAATTCAGCTAGAAATATGAATCTTGCTGGTGGCTCACACCTGTCATCCTAGCTACTCTGGAGGCTGAGAGCTGAAGATTATGGTTCAAAGCCAGCCCAGGCCAAAAAACCCCCAAAAGCCCAAGTGACTTACCTCTGATTAACCAATGAAAAGCCGGAAGTGGAGCTGTGACTTCAGCTAAAAAGCTAAGGGAGAGCATAAGGGCCCAAGTTCATGTCCCACCTCTGGCCCTGAAAAAAAGTGCTTACGTGAAGCTCTGAATTTTATTCTGTATTACATTTTATTTTTTTTTGTCATGGGTTTGAACTCGGCCTGAGCGCTGTCCCTCAGCTCTTCAGCTCAAGACGAGCGCTCTACTACTTAGCCACAGCGCCACTTCCAGTTTTCTGGTGGTTAATTGGAGATAAGAGTCTCACAGACTTTCCTGCCTGGGCTGGCTTTGAACTGTGATGCTCAGGTCTCAGCCTTCTGAGTAGTGTAGCTTGGATGACAGGCGTGAGCTGCCAATGAGCTTTACATTTGCCTCCTCTTACATAAAGAATCTGGCCATCCACTTGCTCTGCTCACTCCTCGCTGAGCAGCAGCTCAAGGAGCCCTCTCCCTTCCTGTGCTCAGCCTCCGAGCCCGCCTGGCAGGGGCCTGCTGCGGTCTCGCTAGCAGAGTGCTTCCAAGCAAGCTGAGCACTTGGCTCTGCCGGCCCCCGTGCCCTGCGTTATAACGCGAGAGGACAGGGCAGGCGCCTACCTGGTTGTCCTTTTGCATCAATGTCCACAGGTCCAGGACCTCAGTGCCACAGTCACGGGCCACTTGTAAACACGCACGGGCATATTCACCAACAGCAGAGTTCAGGCGATTTAACTTGTAACCTGTTGGGGAGAGTGTGCTGACCTGTCTAGGGTCCACTAGCGCCGACCCCGCGTGGAATGTAGGGAATAGTACCAAGGGCTCCACGTCGCTGGCGTGTGATGGGAAAGGTGTTCTTCAGCAGAGCTGGGGGCACGGGCCGGGAGGGTGCGGGTGGCTGGGGTGAGGCCTGGCAAGGAGGGGCGCGCCTGCCACACCAGCCTCGGCCCCATCCCAGGTGCCAGGACGGAGCCCTAGTGCCCGGGCACACGACGCTAGGCAACGCCAGGCACGTGCACTGCGGAAGGAAGGAAGGAAGGACGGGCCTGGGCAATGAAGTCAGGGAGGCGCTGGCTGCAGGGCCGGGGAGAGGGCAGCTGGGAGGGGGGGAATCCACGTGCATGGGGGCTGGGCGCCAAGGGCGGAGCAGCGGGTGGAGTCGCACCGCCCCGGGCGCTCCACACCCCCCTGCGGCCCCTGCCCGCGGCCCTTTGGTCCTCTGGTATCTGACCACCGGCCAGCAGCGCGCGCCGCCTCGCCCTGCGCATGTGCGCTGCCCTCCCAGGC